AAATAATTGCTGTGGAAGGCAAGTTCTGCTCTGCAGATATTACACAGGTTTCTGTTTCATTTTCTTAAAATGATCCCACACTTATGAGCTCCGTTGCTGGGTAGACATGATACCAGAGCCTGTCTGTGAAATGTCTTGTGACGTCCACGGCCTACCCCAGTTACCACTACTGTGCATGTGTGTCAAGGACAGAAAGGRAGACGTGGCAGTAGAAGGTGTCAAAGCAGTTTGGAGAGAAAAACAAAGTAAAGAACAAAAAAAAAAGAAAGAAAAAGAAAACGATTAATCGATTATTAAATTAGTCATCGATTATTTTAATAATCGATTAGTCGTCGATTAATTGATTAATCGTGGCAGCCCTAGCATGCACGGAGAAAACAAGCAAACTCCCAGATAGGTCCTCGGCCGGGATCGAATCTGCCAACCGTCTTGCTGGGAGGCAACAGTTCAACAAACTGAGCCATGGTGCTGCCCTTTAGTGAAACTCTCAGTAATCTTTAGACGCACATGTAAGACTCACTAGGGCCAACTTGATTGCATACGTCTGCCACAGCTAATTGACCTTAGCAAGCCCATAAATTGCTATAAGTCCACCAGCTTTAGAGCTATCGAGCTAAAATCAGGTGTGGTAGTASCTGAGAGTCATCTTCAACACATACTCTGACAGCTACACATCTTCCAGGATTTCAGTTCTTAGTTTAGTTTAATTTCATTTTTGTCATTGTCACAGTGCATGTTTGAAGTAGCATATTTAAAGGGGACCTATTACGCAAAATTCACTATTTAAATGTTTTTTTTACTCAACTTTAGGTGTGTACTTCTTAAAAAACAGTCCTAGGACCAAAAGAATGCACCCAGGGGCATATTTACTGTAAGTAAATGTATTTTTAATGTATATTAAGGACAAGTTTTATACTTCCGTCATTTTGTGATGTCACAAGCCATACGATAACCCACAGGAACCTGCTTTCAGCCCCTCACCTAGCAACCCTCGGGTGAGGCTCCACCTCCTCAGTATAAAATGTCGTCACGGTTGTTGTTGTGCAATGCGCAGCTCATTTCACAATAGGCCTCCAATAGGGCAATGGGTAGAGTGTTGGACCAGAGAGTGGGAGACCAGGGTTTGAGACTGTGACGGATACAATTTTATTATTTATTTTCATTCATTATGAACAAGTTTTCTCATGTACCTCTATTATTTAGCTTATTAAAGCCTTGTTAAAGCCTATTTGTTTGTGTTTCTGAGGTATTTTGACCACTGTTGCTCCCTGCTCTGGTAACAGAGCACAGAGCAGAGGAGGGGGAGAAAAAAAAAAGCTGCGACCACGACTCTGCCTCTGGGTCTCATATGGTTGTACAACGGAGCTTCTGCTATTATTAGCCATGCTAACGTAAACACTGGCTTTGGAGGGCGGAGTTAATGTCAACAGATTTTTAGAGGGCATTACCAACAGAGCTCATTAACATAAACAGCTCTTCTGAACGGAAGTCAGAGCAGGCAGAACTAGAAAATAGGGTTGGGCAATATTGGCAAAAAAATAAATCACGATTAATTGTGGTATTTAGCCGATAACGATTAATTTGACGATTAATCCCCTGGAGTCCCTGGACACCCTTATTTCATAGTTACATGACCAATTTAGTGGGAAAGATTTGCTCTTCATAAAAATCTGTTCGAAATTGTGTCAAAATTACAGACTTCAGGCTATACATCAAATTCTAAATGGTGTTGATAGATAAATAAGTTAAAGAAATTTTTTAATGTTCATTATATTTGAAGCAGAGAGAAGCAGCGAGCGGACTCTGACTGTTGGCATTAATCATATTAATTGTCAAGTGCCAAAAATTAATCGATTAATGTTTTTCTGATGATTAATTGTACACGATACGATTATGCCCAACCCTGCTAGAAAATGGGAAATTTTATTATCTGAGAATTATTTTGTGCATTAAATTGAATGAACATGGTCTGGATAGCCCACAGACATACCATAAACATTTTTAGGACCCATAATTGGTCTCCTTTAATGCATATGCAGGTGACTATTTTTTTCTATTTGAGTAGCTTTCATTATGCCTTTTTTTTTTTTTACCTGAACACACAAACCCCACTGAAACTGTACACAAACAAGCACAAAGACACACACACACTCCAACGCTGTGAGGCTCATGCGATGTTTTCCACGTCAACCAGGCCGGTCCCTGCCATCTTAGTGTCTTCACACCAGCTTACTGCAGCAGCAGATTGACACCATAACAGACACATATCAGCTTACTATAATAACACCTAGCCAACATGCCAAGTAATCCGCCATTTTGCTTCACGGCTCCGTAAATAAGTATTGTCATGCTGCGAGTGGAAGGCACAGAAATCTTCATCTTTAAACTGGGGTTGTTTGGCAGATGCTAAATTGAGCTTCAAGTCATGTGGGTGACGTCGCGTGTCTGAGAGCAGACAAGAACGTACAGAGCTTGTTCACACACACACACACACACACACACACACACACACACACACACACACACACACACACACACACACACACACACACTCCAAGTACCTCTGCTTGCACATAAATGAGCAAGTCCTCCACTAGCCTTAAGCCTGGAAACACCCATATGCTGATCTTTCTCACCTTCTTTTCATCTTTCCCTCCTCAAATCTCTCTCTGTCCTCTTTAGTCCCTCGTTCCCTTCCTACTTTCTCGTCTCGTTCTTTCTTCTCCCCCTCTCTCTCTCTCTCTTACACACACACACACACACACACACATACACACTTTGTATGTATTGCTCTCGTCTAACTATTTCCCTTGCCGATGTAGTCCATTGAGAGCCAGTGACTGTCTGTGGGTGAAAGCAGAAAAGAAGAGCGGAGCGGATCACTGCAATGCAGAGCAACCAAACATCGCACAGCAGCAGGCTCTGCCGTGTTTGCCTGCCTACGGACAGTTTGTGTACATATTTAAACGGACTTTTGTTTGCTCTCGAACTCGTATTTGTACGGTGGAAGGAGGGGGGGGTGCGCACGTCTGCGGCGGGTGTAAGTGTTAATGCGTGCGTTTCCGCGTGGGTTCGTGAGAGCGATGACCAGCTCAACCAGCTTCTATTTGTCATGGCCCCAACACCAAAGCCTCTGCAGCTATGCACCATGACTTTTAAACAGATCTCTTTTCACTTGACATCAAAACCCCAGCCCGACTGTGCATTTTTAATACCCCGTGTGTTTATGCAGAGAAGAATATGGTTTTATGCCCCCACATACACACACACACACACACACACACACACACACACACACACACACACAGGCTCGCTCAGAAAGGATCACGGCTCTTGCTAAATCTATCACGCCGAAATGGCATTGTTTTAATCAGACTAATTGTCCTGCTCCTCGCCGCGTCTCTGGCATCTCCACTTAACTGAAGCCGCGGCAGCTTTTTATACATATAAATATATATTATTCCCAAAGAATAAACGACAGCAGTGGAGAACAAGCAAGAGGCAATCTAAACCACAGGGGCCCCCAGGCGTTTGAAGTCTAAAGACTCTTTCATCCCTGGCTTTGGGAAATTACTGATTTTTCTTTTCCACACAGTGACAGGACAGTTCTGACAGGATCCAAACACATGAACCATGACAAAGCTGTCAGACAGGAAAACAAACAAACAAACAAAAAACACATAACACCTAACTGGAACCAGTCCAGAGCGGAAAGTGTTGTAAAAATTAGACACTATGTGTAAGGAAGTGAGAGAAGTGTTAAATGTGAGGGGGGGCGGGTGTGAACAGGAGAGAAAAAGGGAAAAAATGACGCTATAATTAGTCGCTTGTTGCTTTAACTAGCATTTAGTTTTAACTGGGGCTTCTTTGTCTGAAGACACAATGGGTCTGATGTGGTGTGAGTGAACTATACAGCTTAGAGGATTAAGGCAGGGCTGAGGCAGCGGCGCTCATTCCTCCGTCACGCAAACACACACGTTGTTTAAAACACACACACACACCTCCAAACAAAAGCACGCCCTCCCTTCGACACGCACACACACCGCGTCCCGAGTGAGCGCACGCACGTCCACGGGGGGATTATCTGTGCAACAGAGTTCTGAAGGCTGAGAGTGAGGAGGCGTCTGAAGAATGGTACTCATCACCGGAGGATGGAGAGAGCCCGGCGCAAAAAAGAAGAGAGAGGAGGCAGCAAAACACACAGGTTTTCGGTGCGAGCTACCTGCGCGCCGAGCAGCATATTGAGCAGCAGCTCTCCGTGTCCGTCCTGCGAGGCTGAGATGACAGCCGAAACATTAAGAGGGGAAAAAAGAGGGAGGGTGGAACAGAGTAGAGAGGAAAGAAGAAAAGCAGAAAAAGGTGAGCGGGAGAGCAAGAGGAATAAAGAGGCGAGGAAATGGAGAGAGGGGAACGAATCAGATGGAGGGATGAAAGAATGGGGTGAGGAAAGATCATTACGAGAAAAAAAGGCACGCGAGCCGCAGAGAAACGACGTGACTCGTGACCTTGGCCCCCATGAGGCCACCAACCGTACATGTCCTCGTTTCACAAATATATTGTATTGATTTTAAAGTGCTAATGCAGATTTCCCTCTTTTAGCTTCTGTCTCACGTGTGTGTGTGTGTGTATGTGTGTGTGTGTGTGTGTGTGTGTGTGTGTGTGTGTGTGTGTGTGTGTG